TGGGTTCGGGACTAGGGTGTTCTGGAAAGGGGTTGGGAACAAGCACATCATACACCTTCACGAAGAAGCATCCATTGGAATCGGCATGAAGACGCATTCATTCCACCTCTGTACGCTTCCCACCTATTCCTATCCCCTTTGTTGTCTTCCCCTCCACAGACTCTACAAGGCTTCAGCTGTTCCAGTCGCATACCCAGCAGAAGGGGAGGGTGAGGGGCATACACAAGGGAACGAACCTAGCTTCGCAGAAGGCACGACCAACTCGTATGTAGGCTCGGAGCAACCTTATAGCAGCAGCTCATATGCAGGCGAAAGCTACAAATAAAAACCTTCGTCGCTGCCATGGGGCTCCATTGGCTCGGGGCAACTTTATACCAGCAGCTCATGTGCGGGCGAAAGCAGTGCTGGCTACAAGTTAAAAAATACATTGTATGTTTCGCTTATTGGTTAGGTACAGTAAAACTACTGTATGACCTTTGCTTCTATATAATATGGGATTTGCCATTGGACTTTGATTGTTATATTGCATTTAAATGTGTCATATGTTAATATTGCATGCTGGGCTGTGAAGTATGGAAGATAAGGTTGGTGCATACATCCAACAGTAGCGAATGTGCGAATTCAGTTTCATAATTGACTATTTCCAGTTAATAATTGAGTTTTTTGTTATCCACATTTTGAGGTTTTTGTTTGAACGGGGTTCTATAACCGAGTTATGTGAAAGCTAGTGTACAGTATTGCGGTTCATTATCCACATTCCACATCCGCGAATCCAGACGAGCTGTGCTTGTTTGACTGTGGTTCTCCTTCGCTCCAGGTCTCCGCGTCTGGTTGCACATTTACAGCGGATGCTTCGTGTTTCAGGACGGTTCCACACGGTTGTAAGCGCTATATATTTATTATCATTGTGGACTTCTACACGACAAATTTGGCCGATCTAGACAACCCTTGCGAATCGCGACAGAACAGCAACCCCATGGGCACAAAGAAATCCATCTCGGGCAGAATTGACAACCCCATGGCAGGCAAAAGGGGCACCTACGCTCTTGCACCTGAGTCCTGACCCTTGAGAACGTGCCCAACACGTTCGTCTGAGTGCGACTCGATGTTTTACGTTCAACCACGGTCAATTTATTTTCTAGTCTGGTGAAGTATGGTATTGAGCAGATAAGAATGTGTGGCGTGCGATACACATCGAGCCTTTCGTCCTCGCCTCGGCCTGTCGCCTCTTCCCCTCCGTTTCTCACCGTCAACCCGCCACCGAATGAACAACTGAGCTGTAGTGTGTGTGTCTCACACTCTGCCACCACGGGCTGATCAAAAGAGTACGCCCTAATGCGGTCGAACAGGGTTCAGACTTACTCCAGAGCGTTCTGATTAAAACAGAAGATGGTTGGGTGGGGTTCTCTGCGAATACGTGCAATGTTTGACCCGCCCTAACTCACAGTTCCAGCTGTAGTGGTGCGGTTCTGTTGCCGCATATCGTAATTATGCGCAACGTGGTGGTTGCTGGGCTGCCTTTCCTTTTGTGATTCTGCCACTTTCGTTCTACCTAGTGCTTGCGGAGACGGAGCGTTATTTTTGACGCGTGAATGCCTACTCTAGTTGTAGTAGCGCATTAGGCGGACAAGCACAGAGCACACAAGTTGTTGAGTCGCCTCGAAACGCCACCTCCGCGTCTCATTGCACGAGGGATTTTTTTTGCCCTCGGAGAGCCCTTATTTGTACCAGACGAGTTAACCATCTCTGGCTTCAACGTGTTAAGAGCGCTCTCGAAAATTAAGAAACCTGTAGTAATAATGCGCTGGGAAATGGAGGACATGCGGAGAAGAGGCGGCGCTGCGCCAAATGAACTTCGCAAATTCCGTCGGGCAGTCCGCGCTTCGTCGTCTCGTGGCTGCTCGCATACTGCTGGCATTGGAAATAATTTTCCCTTCCTCCTCCTCGCCATCTGCGCTGTAGTGGCTACCGCGCCGCGTCTGTGCGCAGCCGACTCGGATTCGACGGCGCATATTGCGGCGCGGTTGAAGGGCATTAGTCGGTCTTCCCTAGTTCCCGACGTGACAGCATCGCAGAAGTTTCACCCGGAATATTATCATCTCCCCGATGCCGTCCTTTACTACGACTCGCTTATCCGGAACGCTATAACACAAGCGCCTCGCGCCGCGATACTCGAACACGCCCGTTTGAATCACGTCACCCGCCGCGCGTTACAGCAAATCCTCGAGAACGTGACTCTCGCTCCGAACCGCACGCACCGCAAGAACCCTCTGGACGGACTTAACTACTACACGGGCGGGTGGGACCCAGCCAACAAGGACTACTGGGCGGTACGTGTTTCGCGAACAAAATACGAAATTACGAAAGTTGTGTAACCCACATAGTTCACAGAATCGCACGCGGCGCAAGAACCAGTGGACGGACTTAGGGGCGGGCGGGTGGGAGCCAGCCAACAAGGACTACTGGGCGGTGCGTACCACGTGATACCCTGTTGTGTTGTTTTTTTGCAACGTTTCAAAAACCTGGGCCGTGAGTAACACGTGTTACCCTCTTGTGTTGCGGGTTTAGTTACCCTGTTGTGGTATAGGCTTGGCCCGCTCTCTCCACCCCGCTCTCCTCACAACGCTTTCCCCGCCCTCGCCCCTTTCCCCCTTTCCCCTTTTCATCCCTTTCCCCTTCCCCTTTTCATCCCTTTCCGCTTCCCCTTTACTCCCCCCCTTCTTCCCTCCTCTCCTTCCCTCCTTCGTCCCCCAGTCCGTGGTGTGGTCGGTGGTGTACGCTCCGCTGCTCGGGCTGCTCTGGCTAATTCTGGGCCTCGGGATTGTCGGATTCTCGCTGCTCACCTGCCTGTGCTGTCGCGACAAGTGGACCGAGATGAGGGACCCCAAATACGCCAAGTACACCAAGAAGGACCTCTGGGTGCCGCTGGGGTTCATGCTCCTCGGGATTGTCGCCGTGCTGTGAGTTCTGGTGTTGAGAATGCACACGGATGACTCACATCTGAGATGAAAAAAAAGAAGATCTCTTTCCTTCCTCTTGACATGATTCTGAAGATTATTTAAGATCGCCTGTACTAGCAGTCTTTTGTTTGTTTTATGTTACTTTCTTCTCCGACAGAGAGCAACCCACCCTGTTCTCGTTCCCCTCGCCTCTCTCCTCTCCCAGGGTGGGATTCTCCGTTATGGTGGCAGAAGGAGTGCAGCTGCACAACCGCGTGAACACAGTGACGCAGTACGTGACGGAGCAGGTGGACTTCACGGCTAAAGTGATCTACAACCTCTTTCATCTCATCCCCCTTCCCTCTCCCCTCCCCCAGGGTGGGTTTCTCGGTGATGGTAGCAGGAGGAGTGAAGCTGCACAACGACGTGAACACAGTCACACAGTATGTGACAGAGCAGGTTGACTTCACAGCCAGTGTGATCTACAACCTCTCCAACATTGTGGAAACGAGCTCCTCCATCACCGTCGCCAACGCCGTCATTCCGGGTGAGTCAGCCAAGCCGAGCCGTGCCACCCACACACACATTGTGCCTGCCTTGCCTTGTCGTTTTGTAGTAAGCCGACTGCAGCATCATGGTGCACGCGGGCTGTTTTAGAGGCAGAGTCACACAGTATGTGACAGAGCAGGTTGACTTCACAGCCAGTGTGATCTACAACCTCTCCAACATCGTGGAAACGAGCTCCTCCATCACCGTCGCCAACGCCGTCATCCCGGGTGAGTTGTCTTTCTAGGCGCCTCGAAAGTCCTTGTTTGAGGCGCCTCGCCACATTTCACGGCCAGTGTGATCTACAACCTCTCCAGCATCGTGCAAACGAGCTCCTCCATCACCGTCGCCAACGCCGTCATTCCAGGTAAGTGGGACAGGTGGTACCTTGTCGTGTAGTGAGCCCACATATAGGATGGTGACCGGGCCCTCGACCTCTCCAGCATCGTGAAAACAAGCTCCTCTATGACCATCGCCAACGCCGTGTGAGTGAGACGAGCCGTGCCACACGGAGTACCTTGTTTAAGCCACATGCATTAAGCAACTCGCCTCGCCTCAGTTCACTAGCATCAGCTCGCTTCCTTGCTTCTCCCTGCTGCTCCCTGCTCTGCTTCCCCTCGCATTGCATCAGCTAACAAGAAGGCGGACATTCGAATCAGAACAAGGCGAAGCAGGAAAACCAAAGACAAGCTGATTCTCCTTCCCTCCTCCCTCTCTCTTTCCGTTCCCACGCAACCACCTGCAGCTGACAAGAAGGCGGACATTGGAGCCAAGGCGAGGAAAGCACACGAGACAGCCACTCACTCTCTCTCTCTCTCTCTCTCTCTCTCTCTCTCTCTCTCTCTCTCTCTCTCTCTCTCTCTCTCTCTCTCTCTCTCTCTCTCTCTCTCTCTCTCTCTCTCTCTCCCATCTCTCCCCTTTCTCCCCCTTTCTCCCCTTTCTCCCGCTTTCTCCTCCTTTCTCCCCCGTTCACCAGCTGACAAGAAGGCGGACATAGAAGCCAAGGCGAGGAAGGCAAACGAGACAGCCACTCACCATCGCTCTCTCTCCCCATTCTCCCCCTTTCTCCCCCTTTCTCCCCTTTCTCCCGCTTTCTCCTCCTTTCTCCCCCGTTCACCAGCTGACAAGAAGGCGGACATTGAAGCCAAGGCGAGGAAGGCAAACGAGACAGCCACTCACCATGGCTCTCTCTCCCCATTCTCCCCCTTTCTCCCCCTTTCTCCCCTTTCTCCCGCTTTCTCCTCCTTTCTCCCCCGTTCACCAGCTGACAAGAAGGCGGACATTGAAGCCAAGGCGAGGAAGGCAAACGAGACAGCCACTCACCATCGCTCTCTCTCCCCATTCTCCCCCTTTCTCCCCTTTCTCCCGCTTTCTCCTCCTTTCTCCCCCGTTCACCAGCTGACAAGAAGGCGGACATTGAAGCCAAGGCGAGGAAGGCAAACGAGACAGCCACTCACCATCGCTCTCTCTCCCCATTCTCCCCCTTTCTCCCCTTTCTCCCGCTTTCTCCTCCTTTCTCCCCCATTCACCAGCTGACAAGAAGGCGGACATTGAAGCCAAGGCGAGGAAGGCAAACGAGACAGCCACTCACCATCGCTCTCTCTCCCCATTCTCCCCCTTTCTCCCCTTTCTCCCGCTTTCTCCTCCTTTCTCCCCCGTTCACCAGCTGACAAGAAGGCGGACATTGAAGCCAAGGCGAGGAAGGCAAACGAGACAGCCACGGAGCTGCAGGCCAAGACAGCAGACGGCATCAACCTCATCAACAACGGCCTGCGAGTCCTGTGAGTGCAGTGCGGTGCAGTGGGGTGTGGTGCGTTACTGTGGGGTGGGGTGGGGTGGGTTGGGGGTGCGGTGCAGTGTAGCTGCTGTGCTGTGAGTAGTACGAGAGCGAATGCATCATCACTTTTTTTTGAATCGAGTCCTGCAGTCTGCATTTCGAGTTGACCCTTCCCCTCTCCTCTCCCTCCCCGCTCAACCTCCCCTCCCTTCCCCTCCTCCCCCCCACCTTTCCCCCAGCTCCATTACATTCTACACCATTAGATGCGTCATCACCTTCCTTTGCATCCTCGCCCCCCAGCCTCACTACACTCTATGTTGAATTCTCAAAAGTGATTACCCCTCCTCCTCCGCCCTTTCCCCCAGCTCCATTACATTCTATACCATCGATGCGTCATCATCTTCCTTTCAAGTGGAGTAGTCACATGGCTGTCTTCCCTACTCCTCTCCCTGTCTCACCGAAACGCCCCCTCTCCTTCCTCCCCCCTTCCCTCCAGCTCCATCACATTCTACACCATCGGATGCATCATCACCGCCCTTTGCATCCTCGCCCTATGTGCGTATCTTTCTGTCCCATCCGCCCTTTCCCCCCCCCTGGTCCTCTCTTCCCCCATCACCGCCCTTTTCCTCCTCAGGCTATGTGCGTATCTTTCTGTCCCCTCCTCACTGCTCACCTTCCTTCCTTATTATCGTGAAATTCACCATGTCTCCCTGGGCCATGTGCTTCCTTTACTCTCGTTTCGTTAGCGAAACGGCGCCGCTCGTTTCGTTTACAACCTACAATCGCCGCCTCAGCTGCTCTCTCGCGATGCTTCCCCCGTGCCCCTTTTTCTTGGAAGATTTCTAGCGACACGATCTGCGTGCATGTGCGAGAGTTCAGTTCAATGCGAGTCGGAACGTTTTTTTCAAGAAAAGGGACCCACCCGCGTCATTCCTTTTTCTTTTCTCGAAAGCCGTTGCGATTGCGACGCTAGCCAACCAATCTCTTCGCGCTCTCTGTGATTCGTCCATCTGCCGCGCATGTAGTGCTAATTTTATAGTCTATTTATTTATTGATTGCTTTTTTGTCTTACACCCACCCTTCTATGTATGCTTTTCCGCCCAGTGTTTTCTCTTCTCAAATGGGTCGTAGCGTCCAACATGTGAGTGCTCTTGCATGCGGTCGAAAAGGCTTCATCATGCTAAGTTGTTATTTACATGACGTTTCCTTTTTGGGTCTAAGACTCTATGGTATCAGTCAAGGTCTGCGTGCATTGTCATCGTTATAGAAAATTTTATTCGTATTAAATCTTCGTATTAAGAACTTTATTGGTACTGTGGATGAACATGTAGGCAGTAGCTGGCTTTGATGCTGAGCGTTTTTACGTTTGGCAAATCACATCGTAACCCCCCTCTGAGTCAACATTCTACTCACAGCGTATGATTCATCAACACTTGCTACGTGTGTCTCCTTGTGCTTTGTCTATCCCTCTTAACAGCTTCCTCACTCTAATCTGGGTGGTGGTTTTCTTGACGTGGTGCATGACAGCTGGCCTACTTATAGCATACCTGTAAGCCTCGTTACTATCCATTTATATGCTTTTATGAGTGCATTTGGAAAAGCCTTCATATTGCTACATCCGTTAGCCTTTGTGATTCCGTATCCAAAAGCCTTCATATGTTTATCATATGAATAAACCTAAATGCTTTCATAGTTGTAAGCCCTCTTATCTATTGTCAATCAAGAAATCAGCCATTCACGCTTTTTACTGTATAAGTTTTAAATTTAAACGTTAATACGATGGTTGCCTGTATTGACCGCTTGATTATGCTTTTTTGAATCCGCAAACCAAACGCCAGGGATGCAACGTAAGCCTGCTCGCTCCCTCACCTCTGCTCCCTCCAACTTCCACCCCCTTCCTCCCGTACCCCAAAAAACTCAAATCCAGTGTGAATGACGACACAAGAGTGGCATTGGAGCAGGTGCAACAGTCGCCCACCATCAGCAGCGCCATGGACAAATACCTGCACTGCATCCCCAGCAGGGACTTGGTCGCTCTCTCTCCCTCATCTCCATTCTCTCCCTTCGACCCCACACAACCCCCCACTTCCCAACCCCAGGGTGAATGGCGATACCAGTGTGGCACTGGAGCAGGTGCAGCAATCCCCCACCATCAACAGCGCCATGGACAAATACCTGCACTGCATCCCCAGCGAGAAGCTCCTGAATGCCACGCGCTATGCTCGCTACACCGCTGCCACCGTGCTCACAACTGCCAACAGCTCCGTGGCCAGCAACGCTCCTAGGGTGAGTGTAGTGCAGTGCAGTGCAGTGCAGTGCAGTGCAGTGCAGTGCAGTGCTTGCTGCCTCCGTCTGCCGACAAATGGGGTGATTTTTTACGCGAGTCACACGCTGTGCGCTACACCGCTGCCTGGCCACTGTGCTCACCACGGCCAGCAGCTCCGTCCGTGGTCAGCAACGCTGCTAGGGTGAGTGGTTGTTGGGCTTTGAATGCTCTGGTTGTTCATTGAGTGCTCGTATCACCCTGCCTCCCACTACAGCTGTTTAACCTTGTCACTACCCCCCCTGCTCCCTCTCTTACCTCCCCTCCCACCACAGTAGCTTCCTTGGTGTTCCGGCCGGCATGTGTGTGCCGTACAGTCTTCCTCTCCCTACCACCCTGCCTCTGACCACAGCTATTTAACTTCCTTGGTGTTCCGGGTGGCATCTGTGTTGTGTTCCGGGTGGCATCTGTGTTGTGTTCCGGGTGGCATCTGTGTTGTGTTCCGTGTGGCATCTGTGTTGTGTTCCGGGTGGCATCTGTGTTGTGTTCCGGGTGGCATCTGTGTTGTGTTCCGTGTGGCATCTGTGTTGTGTTCCGGGTGGCATCTGTGTTGTGTTCTGGGTACCCTCGTCCCGCCTCTCCTTGTTACCCTGCCTCCCACCACTGCTCACCTCCCCCTGCTTCCCCAAACCCCCCACAAATATTTAAGATTCCTGGTGTTCCAGGCGGCATCTGCGTGCCCTATGACCCTCCTCTCCCTATCATCCTGCCTCCCTCCAAAGTTATTCGACCTTGTCAATGCTCCCCTTCCTCCCCACCCCCGCCTTCCCCACCACAGCTATTCAAGATTCTTGGTGTGCCGTGCGGCATCTGTGTGCCATACAGCCCTCCTCTCCCTCTTGTCCTGCCTCCCACAGTACCACAGCTCTCTCTCTCTCCCCCCCTCCCCAACCCCCTCTCCCACCACAGGTATTCAAGATTCTAGGAGTGCCGGGTGGCATCTGTGTGCCGTACGGCCCGGCGCCCAATTTCACGCGCGACACGAGCCTCTGCGTTCAAGGCGAAACCATCCTCTTCCCGCAGTTTGTGAACGTGAGTGGCGCTCGCGCTGATGTGGCATGTGTGCTGATGTGGCATGCGTGCTGATGTGGCATGCGTGCTGATGTGGCATGTATGCTGACGTGGCGTATGTGCTGATTTCACGTGCAAAATGAGCTACTGCGTTCAAGGCACCATCACCTTACCGCAGTTTGTGAATGTGAGTGGCTGGTGTTCTGATGCGGCACATGTGCTGATGTTGCATGTGTGCTGATGTGGTAGTGTGCTGTGTGCTGATGTGGCAGTGTGCTGTGTGCTGATGTGGCACGTGCTCTCAGAGCCAACGGTCTCACAGCCTTCTGAGTCCGCCACACACGGCACAAACAGCACATTCTTTGTAACACCCCTTCCCCCTGTCCCCGTTCCCCCTGTCCCCTTTCCCCTTTTCCCTCTCTCCCTGTCCCTCTTCCCTATCCCCCTCCCCCTGTCCCCTTGCCCCTTCCCCCCTTCCCACTGTCTCCCTTCCCCCTCCCTCCAGACGCTTATGATGACAGCCGGCAGCACTGCTTTGGTGTCGACGCCGGTACGAACGAATGACCTCACAGCCTTAAGAGTCGGACACAACTCCCCTCCTTCCTCCTGTCACCTCCCCCTTTCCCCCTCTCTCCCCCCGCCCTCCAGAAGCTTATGACGACAGCTGGCAGCTCTGCTTTGGTGCCCGACGTGGTGAGAACCACCTCACAGCCTTATGAGTCGGACACAACACAACTCCCCCCTTTCCTTTCCTACCGCCCCCCCCCCTCCTTCCCCGCCTTTCCTCCTGTCACCTCCCCGTTTCCCTTTCTCTCCCCCCGCCCTGCAGAAGCTTATGACAACAACTGGCAGCTCTGCATTGGTGCCGGAGGTGGTGAGGAACCATCTCACAGCCTAATGAGTCGGCTTAGCACTAAACGCGTTGCTCTCACTCCTCCCATCCCCCGTCCCCGTTTCCCGATCCCCCTGTCCCCTCCTCCCTGTCCCTGCAGATGCTTATGACAACAGCCGGCAGCTCCTGCCCTTAAGAGTCTTACTTTTGAGAATTCTCAAAAGTAAAATTCACCTGCCCTTGAGTCGGACACAACTCCCGCCCTTCCTCCGTGTGTTTCCCGCTCCCTCCCCCCGCCCTGCAGAAGCTTATGACAACAACTGGCAGCTCTGCGTTGGTGCCCGACGTGGTGAGGAAGGAACGACCTCACAGCCTTATGAGACAGAACCTCCCTTTCCCCGCACACCTACCCCTTCCTCCTGTCCCCTCCCCCTTTCCCCCTCCCTCCTCTCCTGCAGAAGCTTATGACGACAGCCGGCAGCTCTGCTTTGGTCCCGGAGGTGGTGAGGAACGACCTCACAGCCTTGTGAGCCGGACACAACACACATCATTCTCACTCACTCCCCTCTTCCCTCTGTCCCATCCAGAAGCTTATGACGACAGCTGGCAGCTCTGCATTGGTGCCGGAGGTGGTACGGAACGACCTCACAGCCACGGCACAAACACTCGCGCTGCTCGAATCCACCATCCCCAACGTGCTCACCCTCGTTGACTGCTCCTACGTCGCCAACATTGCTGCGGTGAGTGCGGTGCAGTTCGGTGCGGTGCTGTGGAATACAGTGCGGTGTGGTACGGTGTGGTGCACTGCGGTGCAGTGTCGAGTCAAAGGTCAAGGTGGTGAGGAACGACCTCACAGCCACGGCACAGACGCTCGCGCTGCTCGAATCCACCATCCCCAACGTGCTCACCCTCGTCGACTGCTCCTACTGTTCCTACGTCGCCTCAGTTTTGCAATATCTGAGGCAAAGGCAATGATAAACAACTTCCAGATGCTCTGGATCGGCTTTCATGATGCTTCCTGCATGATGCACGCCCTCTCCATGCCTATCTATGTCTTCCGAGCCATCATCTGCGCCTGCGCTTTAAGTGGCTTCCTGGTTCGTTTAAGGGAACTCAGCTTGCTCCTTTTCCCCCCATGCCCCCTCTCCCCCCCACCCCCCCCCCCCCTCTTCCCGTCCGTCCCCCCATTATGGTCCTCCAGTTTGCAATATCCCAGGCGCAAGCAATGATAACCAATTTCCAGATGCTCTGGATTGGCTTCCTGGTCATCACCATCGCCTGCATGATGCAGGCCCTCTCCATGCCTATCTACGTCTTCCGAGCCGTCAGGATCGGCGACAAGCTCAGCGACGCCGAAATCGAGGGGTAAGGCTTGAGGGAAAGGTGGGTTGGGGGGGGGGGGGGGGAGGACAGGGGGAGGGAGCGGGAGGGGTGGAACCGGGGATGCCTTGTCACGGGGACAAGCTCAGCGACGCCGAAGTCGAGGGGTAAGACTTGAGGGAAAAGGGTGGGCGGTTGGGTTTGTGACTGGGGGTTGGGGTTGGAGGTGGCTGGAGAGAGGGTGGGGGACGGAAGCGGATGAGTGGGGAAGAGGGGACGGGGAGGAGTGGGGGGAGGAAGAAGAGGAGGGGGGGGTGTGTTGGCTGGGAGTTCTGATGGTGGGAGAGGTGGGATAACAGGTGCTTGAGCAATAAGCCTTGATTTCTAACTCTGATTCCTCGCACAGAAATCCCACAACACATCATACACACATTAACAAAAAAAACATCATACCAAACTGTTGGTTACTCGTCCATCACTGCAGCTGTCTGCCTTCCCACTCACTCCTATCCCCTCTATTGTCTTCCCCGCACCAGGCTGTACAAGGCTTCAGCTGTCCCAGTAGCATACCCAACAGGTGGAGGACCTGAGGGGCAGGCGCAAGCGAACGAGCCTAGCTTTGCAGAAGGCTCGGGTGGCTCATACTATGAAGGCGAAAGCGGCGCCAGTTACAAGTGAAAAAAACCAGCTGTGCGGTTTGCAGTGGGTGTCTGAAACTGTGTTCGGTTCGGCCTACCTTAGGCTTTGGTATACCTGGGAAGCCTAGGTGATGCTAGTTTACGTTTATCTGGAGTTGGTACTTATACCTTGTGAATGATTGTTGCCTCTAAGAGCGTGTTCCTACACCTCGTATGAGAAACACCTCGTATCAGCTTCCCGTGGTGAAATATGTTTCAATGGCCTCGTATCAAATTTTATTAACTTATACAGCAGAAAGTGGTTACGTATCCAGCACATTCGGTAACCAGGTCAGGCATTCTTCAGGGCAAGATTCAGGGTGCACTGGTTTGTCGTGACGTCATTATTCAGGGAGGATCAGCCATTCTCACCGCATGTCGCGGCCAGAGGACCAACAGGCGCGTCGCGAGGACGATCTAAACGATCCATGATTATGGATGAGGTGAGTGAGTCTGTTCATGGAGCCTACGAACCGCATGTTAATTCTAGGTTCGGAATGCTTGTTAGTGTGGTTGGAGCTCGGTTCGGAAGCAATAATTCAGATGGCGTCTTGCTGCCGCAACCCACGGCGTCGTCAAGCACTTTTCAGGTTGACCCGGAACGACGCCACCCTGGTCTTTCGCGCGCGATTATTGCCATCCAGCGCCGTCGCTTGCGTTGCCGAACTGGCGCACGAAGCCCAATCTCCACGCCGAACCGGGGAGGCACTCCACCTGTGCTGGGGAAGCTGCCCCACGATTGGTTGCTACTTTCGCACACGATGTTGCGATTCGCGTTGACTACCGCCCAGGGCGGAGCTAGTCAAGTGCCCGGGGCTAGTCAGGGGGGCCAGGGCCAGGCCAGAGGTGAAGCAACCAAAGTCAGGCTAGTTCAGGTTGCCTAGCCTTTCGGCCCGAGAACACTAGGTGGCGGTTGGGAGCTAGCAACAGCTGACGGAGCGAAGGAGGTTCCGTCCTGGTAACCTGGAGCCGAACATCACGCGAAAGCAGTTTGTTTTCATCCCTCTCGACGCAAGCCTACCCAGCCTACCCCGGGCTAGCCCTGCACGGCCGAGCCATGTGGTTTGAAAGCCAGCTGGTGTGGTGTGGTCTGTGAGTGGCTGAGGGGGACGGCATGGAGCGAGTGATTTGCCACTGGCAGAGACAGCTGGCTTTTTCCACATCGCCTCAGCCCCGCCACCGAGCCTGCCGTTTGGTGAGGGACCGAAACAGCCTGAGCTCCCTGGAAAAGTGTTACGGTTCAGCCCTTTCCACTTCCTCCTCACCTCACCTCACCACCTGCCTCCTTGCCTCTGACCATTATTGATTGACCAGCGCACGATTTGGGCGAACCATTAGAAGGCAATGCTTTCGTTTCTTTCTCTGCGAGTTCTTCGGGCGCGATTTATCCCACCTACGCAGTCACAGCGTTTGCGACTTTTGTGATTAATCTGCTAGCATGCTAGAATATGAGAACCTATGCTCTGTGGCCTACGTAACGCTTTGGCCCTGCGCCCACTTTCGCCTACTGCCGACACGTGCTTGATTAGGGAACTTATACGTTAACTTTTTTATCCTATGCAGTCAGTACGACTCGTCACCTAAATTGCGCCAGTAGAAGTCCCAACGCAGGCTGTAAGATTTCATCACCATTTGCCGCCGAACGTAAAAAATAGAGGGCCTTCCGATCCCAAAGCGTAACGCTTCCTCCAAATCGCAGCAAAGAGTACCAGTTTCCACACGACGCCTGACACTCTCAAGGCTTCGGCCAATCTTGACTTTGCCCCGTCGCCATCATTGAGTTTTAGGATGATAAATCTTACTGACGCTGACTTCTCACCATGGACGGCGCTTTTTGTCGCCATTTGCCCCGTTGCCATGCTCGCGCTCGTATTTCTTCTTTTCGTGCGACCGCCGCAAGAGTCGCAGAGCGGATCCCAGCAACTCGCTCGACGAAATGAGCGACAATCGCACTCAAAGACTCTTGGAAAGAATCATACGTCATCGTCCTCGCTTCTTCAAGCCTTCCTCGAGATATCCTGTAACGAGAATGCAGAAGGTCAGAAATCCTCGACGGTTAAACAGCCGGAGCAGCGGCAGAAGGTGGTTGGGTGGCAATTCCCGGAAAAGGAAGGCCGCGACGCCCGACGGCTACGATGGGCTCGAGCCGTGCATCAACGGCTGAAACGCAACCCGTACACCGTGGACGACGAGAGGGTGAAAGGAAAGCCATTGTTTACGCCGGAGCAGCTTATAGCGGAGCTGAAACAGTGCGTGAGCCGACAGGGACCGGGCACTGCCACCCAGCAGCAGCAGCAGCAACGAGGAGATGACGCGGCTGCCGCCGACGCGGCACTCGCAGAGGAGAAACTACGGCTTCGGTTGCTCCTATCGCTGCTCCACTCTGGTCCCCCAAATCTCCTCCCGCCGATCACGGAAGATACATCCGCCACCGACGAGTCAACGGAAGGCCACGGAGTCGAGTCCGCGTGTGGCGACGACGGGGCGCAGAGTGACGACGAGGTGCTGTGCGACGACCTTTCGCTGACAATTGACGCCCTCGGCGAGGCCTTGTTAGTAGACGCTGCGCCCGCGCAAACCAATGCACGTGCGGATGGGGAGGAACTTGCGTCCTTCTTGGCACTCCCCCGGCCGTACCAGGCGCAGCCTTCCGCGAGAACTCTCCGCCGTCTTCGCTCCCCCAAGCGCAATGCCTTTCCGCGCACTGCGGGCGCAGAGGCGGAGGTCTTGGCGGAGAAAGACCCCGTGATTGCGCTCGCGAGGGGGTACGCGACCAGGCAGGTTGCGTGGGACGCGATTGCACTGCTTTCGCGTCAACAGCAGCGGCATTCTAGCGTTTAAGGAGCCATGCTCTTCTGGGTTCCTGCTAATAATGGGTGCAGCAGAGCAAGAATCTGCTTCAGCCATGCCAAGTAGTCGGGGCAGGGAGCAGTGGGAACGCAAATGGTAAGCTCTCGAATTCTCTTTAAGTAGAAGACTTAAAACTCTACTGCCAGCGCATGCCTGAAAGCACCCAACACCAGCGGAGCGAGTGGTTGGGCAATGCTTCTCTAGTACCAGTACAGACAGAGAGTCATTTAGTTTGTGATAAGTCCACTCCCATCCTTCTCTGCCCATCTCACACCTCCACCACTGATTGCACCTCTCTGATCATAGCTGGCATGGCCTGGCAGGCCATGGACTACCTGGTACGTTGTGGGCTGGAAGCGTCTCATTTGCCAATGTGTTGTATGCATTTGTTGTGTTGTAGATGTCCGAGTGGGCTTGTTCTATGTTTCAATCGAGAAGTGAAGCATTTTCAGCTGAAGTTGGGACTGGTTTACTGGTGTACTGGTTTACCAAATAGCAGCCATTACAATAAGCTACAATAATGATGAGCTCGCCTCAATGAAGAAAAAGCCAATGTTATTCAGGCTACCAATGTAAGCATGCATGTACACCTGAGCTTTTCTAGCCGGAACAGGCTTTCTCGATTCAGATCAGACCCCCCTTCCATAGCGCCTTTTGACGCAGGCACGTCTCTGCTGCGAGGTAGCCCCCCAAAACGTCCCCGAAACGCCAACCGAAAGCCTCATCGGAACTCGGTCGTCGGACCCGTTTTGCCAGTGTCGACGGGAGGGGTCGTCGGAGGAGGGCCTGACGAGGCGGGCGACTGACGCGCGTGCGGGCCCGCCAGCCTGGCCCAGGGCTGGGCCGAGCGCACGACCGCCGCCCCGCAGCCCCGCTCCGAAATTGAACAGCGACCCACGTTACCGGGTGGGGTCGGCGAACTGGCGACCCCTCGCGCGAGGGAAAGTTACCCTCGCGCGAAGGCAGCCCACACGTGCTGCCTGCCCGCGAGGTCCTAGTAACCCATCGCGGCCTGCCCGGACGGGCAGGCGAGGGCCGTGCGAAAATACGGGCCCCCCTCGGGACACTCGACAATTTCGCGATTCGCAGCGGTGGCGCCACGTGTTCGCCCGTGGCTTCGCATCGGGCGCATGCGAAATTTTTGACGAGGCGGAAATAAATTCTCTCCCATCGCATGCATTCTATCGTCGCGAACCGCTACGAAATCGACACGTGTCGATTGTAGCGTCGCTCCGCGCTACGAAATCGACACGTGTCGATTGTAGCGTCGCTCCGCGCGCAGGAGGATTCGTGCGTCCCCTCGCCGACCTGGGCCAATGGACGCGAAGTCGACGCTCTACCAAGGCGGAGACGGACCACCTGTGCCACTTGCGCATCCGCCCTCCGAGCACTGCCGAGCCAGGCCCTGCACCCTTGGGCGATGCTGAACGGGCCTGGGGGGGGGGGGGGCACCACCTCCTTTTCTTTGTGGAAGGTGGCCTCGCTCCGCATTTTCGGCATCTCTTTTAGATTTTCAAACATTGACAGCTCTGCACCTCGCCTCTCTCCTACCAGAGCCGTCCGCCTCTTTTCTTAGTCGACAGATATGGAGCCGATCTCCGCCGCCGATAAGTCGGCGCCGACATCGGCCGACTTTCCCCTTCGGGTGCAAATGGGTCGCGGTCTCAGCTTCACCTTAGAGTGGAACGACTACGCCGTCCTTCGCGACCAAAAGAAAGAGTTCACCGAGAGATGCTTTGGACTCGCCATCAGGTGGGACGCGGGTAGTCGCGGTAGTCGAATAGGGAAGATGTCGGTGCCGACCAACCCTAGTAGGGCGCACTGTCGCCGATTGTCTTCCGACGTACGTCGGCGGGCGCGTTTGACGAAGCACGTCGACATGGCAGCGTTTGCTTACCAGCCATGTTCTCATCCCTCGTGCTCACTCGTGCGCTCAGGTTCGCTTGGTTTGACATTGGGCGGGACGACCTGCGGTTGTGGGTGCTCGGGATCGGCCCGCTTCGATCGGCCATGAAAGCCGCCGACCATTCTTGCTTTGCTAAGGCTTTCGACGCCGACATCGCCGCTATCCCGCTGAAATCGACGTGAGCTGTTACCCCGTTGTCCAGTCATCGTTTTTCAGTGTCGGCCGCATCAACGCCTTATGCTGTGGTCGACGCCGTCGTTTATTGCGTGTGCAGCGGCGGCCCGCTTCCAGGGTCACACTGCAGCGTCATAGCCATCCTCTACCCAGGAGATGTGCTGAAGGCTGAGGGACAGGTCTGCAGGACATCGATCCGGCACATCGACCCGCACACCGGAAAAGGGAAGCACCGCGACGAGGCCGTCCGCGTCCTGAAGTAAGTTGTGAATAGTCGTCGCTGTCGAGTTTGTTAGTCGCCGACACAGGGAATCTCATGCTGACCTCCTCTCCACTACGTTGCTCCAGGCTATTCCGCACGGCTGCCCTGGCCGAGCTGGGGCGTCCCGGTAGGAAGTGGGACGGGGCGCCGCCATCACAAGCAGTGGTGGAGGAAAGGCTTGCCGACTGCGACGACCCTATCCGCGACGTGAGTTGCACGTTTAGGCTCCGCTACGGTCTGCGCGTATCTGTATGCACCGCTCATATTGTGCCGCGCTTGCCTGTGTTGTATGCAGAAAGTGCCGGGCACAGTGTCGGACGGGCATGTCGGCACCGGCATGCTTGCCGCGACGTCGTTCGGGTGGGTGGCCAAGCAGATCGGCCTGCTGACGGGCGACAAGGCTCGGAGCGCTGTGAGCATCGAGAACATCAAGGTCGCGGGTTTGAGGTCGCTCCGTGATAGCATGGTCGATTACATCTGCCATCGTGTCGCCGAAAACCGGATAGCGGCGCCGACTTCAGGCGCCGACGGACCCGCCGAGGGTGCGATTGATGACGACGGCGCGGAAAGTCAGACGGCGCCCCAAGCAGCAGCTGCCGCCCAGCGCCAGGAGGACTTGCCGGTGTCCGCGGAAGGAGGAACCGGTGGAGGACTAGGCGACGATGCGGCAGGCGCAGGGAGGAAGGAAGAGGAGTTGACGGACTCTGGCTCAGAGTCGGAGTCGGAGGGGGAGGAGGAGGACGAAGGGGAGAAGGAGAATGAGGACGAGGAGGATGACGAGGGCAAGGACGAGAACGATGAGGTGGTGGAGGTGGTGGCCGGGAAGGATGAGGCGGCGCACGAGGAAGGGGTGGAGGAGGAGGTGGAGTACGAGCTGGAGTACGCAGACGGCACGGTTGAGGCGGTGGGGTCGGCGGACGAGAAGAACGAGGAAGCGGAGGATGGCGATGCGGGTAATGCTACGGGGTCGGCAGGTGAGGGGAAGGAAAAGGATGAGGTCGGCGTGGAGGCAACGACGGAAACGGGCCAGGAGGAGGCGGCATGCGAAGGTGCGAAGGTGTCGGTCGACGCCGGCGAAGGTGCGAACATCGCGGGCGTGCAGGAGACGGGGGACGCATCTGGTCGGCAGGGCCCTGCAACGGACGACGTCGAGGAGCTGCGACGGGAGAACTTGCTGTTGAGGGCGGAGAACGCTCGGCTGCAGGGTTTGCTCGATGCGGAACGGGCTCGGCTGGACGCGTTTTTTGTTGGGCTACGTGGACTCGTCGACCACCTGAAGGAGTTGGCCGAGCAGGTCGACGACACCGAGAAGTATGCGGCGGAACAGCTGCGAAACGCGGCGGAGGCCATGTCGCAGACCATCACGGGCAACATCACCGGCAGCTTCGACGAGGCGTGGAAGACGATGAAGACCTTCGCGGAACAGGCGTCGGCGTGGCTGGAGGACTTCGACAACCCGGAGGGAAATGTGGCGTATCAACGCGCCTTCTCGGTCACCACCTTGGCCGACCACGTCGACAAGGTGGTGGGCGATGCGCAGGAGGATTTGCGGGAGCACATCACGAGCCAGTTGTCCGCCGCAGCTGTCAACATCGCCACAGCTGTGACCGGCAGGCTCCCCGTGCAGCCGCCGCCACCGCCTCAGCCCACGCCGCCCGCCCTCCCGGAAGAGCTCTTGAAGTCGTTCAAGGCCGACATCATGAAGACGGTGACGGAGGCCACCGAGCAGTCGTTCGTTGCGTCCGGGATGAAGATGTTGACCGAGATGATCGGCACGGTGGCGCCTGGTCGACGTGGGTCGTCGCCTTCGGCCAATGACGCCGACGCCGCGCAACAGAGGGCGGCCGACAAGCAAGGCCTGAAGAGGTCGGGCGACGGTGACGACAAGGAGAGCTCGAAGCGGAGCAAGGGATCGGACGGGAGCCGCGTCACGAAGCCTCCTGCGCGGAGCGTGGTCGACATGCTGAAGGCGAAGGGGTGGAAGGTGAGGGGAGGGTCGACCAGCAAGGGAAGCGGAAGCGGGGGGGCGGACGGGAGACCTGCCGACGGGATCGCGGCTAACGTCGAAAGTCGGAGGCGCCGGAACCACCCAGGGGCCGTCTGACGCGGTGCCGGCCAAGGGCAAGGCGATGTCTGCGTCTGCTACGGTCGCCGGAACCGGCACGGCGAAGGCTGCCTCTGCTTCAGTCCCCGGAACCGGCAAGTCGAAGGCTGCTTCTGCTACGGTCGCCGGAACCACCAAGTCGAAGGCTGCTTCTGGTACGGTCGCCGGAACCACCAAGTCGACACCATGTAACCCGCCTGCGGCAACCACCGGGCCCGCCGGCCAGTCAGGTGCGGGGAAGCATGGGGAGGCCCGTGCGGCCCCTCCAGCTCCAGCAGCCCCTACTGCCGCCAAGGTCGACGCGAAGGCTGCTTCGGCACAGGGGCCACCCGGGAGTAACGCGCTTAGGGTGTTGCTCCACCGCATGGAGTCCCACCGCCCGGGCGCGCAGCAGCATCCTGTGGTCGACGCCGGCCTCGCAGAAACAGCACGTCGCTCCGTCACTCCGCACGTTGCCGGCAAACCGTCCGATGCCCAATCTGCCGCGCGGCCGGTCGCCGCCCCACCGCCTGCGGACCCCAAGTCCGCGTTTCTTCGCGCCCATATAGGCGCACGCAAAGCGGCAGCTCCACCAGTCACTCAGCCGGAACCCGGCACAAGCGCGACGCCGACGGCTGTAAATGCGACCGCACCCTCCCCAGGAGCAGCTGTGGTCGATCTGGCGGCGGAGAGGGGAGTCAGTGCAGCGCTAGCCACCGGCGGCCGCGCCGACAGGCATGCCGCCCTCGAATCCGTCCTGGCCCAGTTTGAGGCAGCAAAACGGCCCGAGCATGCCCCGGCACTGGCCATCGTGGACACGGCGCATGCGGAGCCGTCGGCGACCAACACAGGGGGTTCGGCGGAGCCGACGGCCGCAACGGGTGTTGTCGCCGAGGGAAATGCGGGACGGAAGGGTAAGGACGACACCGGGAAAGGGAAGGCGGTGTCGGCGGGGAAGGAGATGGCGGAAGACAAAGGGAAGAAGCCGGCACGGAAGACGGGCGGCAAGGGTAAGTCGGCAAAGAAGAAGGAGGAGGAGGAGAAGGAGGAGGAGGAGGAGGAGGAGGTGGGGGAGGGGGAAGAGCATGGACGCCGGGGTCATGGCATCCGCCGAGACAGGTCTGGCGACGGGCAGGGGTGGGTGGGCGAGATGAAGTTCAAGAACCAGAATCGGTACATCGGCAAGTCCCGCGACAAGATGGAGCTGGCCTACGAGCACGCGATTGCGTACTTCGTCTACGACGGCTACGTGAGCAAGGTGCTCATGAAGGAGCTCACCGCCTTGAAGCCGGGAGAGTTGGATGAATGGAAGGCGGTGTGGGAGGAGGTCAAAATCCTGCCGACCGGGATGTGGACGGTGATGTGGGCCAGAGGCTTGTGCCATCCGAGACCAAGGTAAGTCGGTTACCGACATGCCGTGTTTTGACGACCAAGTCGGTGTCATTAATTCTATGTGTACGTGTTCGCTCGGCAGGTTCGACGACATACTCGGCAGGTTCCGTGGGTACGCAGGTTCGGGTGATGCGCTTCATGGCGTGCTCTGGCCGGCGATGTGGTTCCCCATCATCGAGGACACGGAGGAAGGCAGGGCGGAGACAAATGCCAACATGTCGGCGATGGTGAATCGCGTGTCGATGTGCGCGGCGTATGGAAAGGTCGCGGCGAGAGTCGCGTATGGGAAGGTCGACGGGAGCGCGGAGGCGACCGCGGGAGAGACGACGGATATGGAAGGCGCGGACAGGAAGGCGGACGAGAAGGTGCAGATGGGGGCCCAGGCGTTAGCGGCCTCTGCATGCGCCCTCTGGTGCTACATGTCGACGCCGGCGTCGGTGCTCGGTGCTGTGGGCGAAGGTAAGGCGGCCGCGATTCTGGCAGGTGCGGGGAAGGAGAGGGGCGAGCACTTCGCGATGGTCATGCACGTGGTTATCGAACACGCACGCACTCGGCAGGCTCCCGCGGGGGAGGTTGCACATAACGTCGCGCCAGAGCTGCAGCGCTATGGAGTGGCCAGGGCCTTCGAGGCGGGCATTGAGGAAGACGAGGCCGACATGATCGCAAGAGCGACGGTCGAGACCTTGGCGTTCTGGGGAATGTGCCCCCTCGACGGGCCCAAGCTCAAAGCGGAGGGCATCGATGTGCCGTGTGACGCGAAGATGGAGTACGACTTGGATCACAGGGGGAGGAAGGGGGAGAAGGTCAAGCAGGCCAAGGGCAGCAAGAGGAAGAGGTAGTACGGATGCGTAGTCGGCGGAATGATGTTTGCTAGGTTGCTAGGGTGTGTACTATATTGGTATGGACGGCGCCGATTTTGGCGTAGATTTGTTAAATGTGGCCTTTTTTTGTTCAAGTGCTGTTCGTTTCAATATTGGGCTAACAACTCGGTGTCACTGTATAACCATGCTAGCCGAATATCACCCGATGAGCCAAGTCGGCGCATATGTCGACATGATATGCACATGATACGTCGGCGATAAGCAGTGCAGAAACATGGTTGTCGGCATGACGTCGACAGTGATTTTTAGCCACACCTACTGTACTGGGCGACAAACAACCAACATCGGCAACATTCACCGACAACTACGGTTCGCATGGACATTGATGTGGGATGTTTCCAAACTACCAGAAACATCAGTCGGATGGGGCGGGGGGGGGGGGGGGGGGGGGGGGGGGGGGGGGGGGAGGGGGGGCTGTTTAAGTCTGCCAAAATCTACGCAGACGCATATCCCATGAGGGACTTCATGCCGTCTTCTTGCGCTTGGTCGGAGGACGCTGCACGGGTGCGGTCGGCTTGGCCGGTGCTGTCGACTTGGCAGGTGCGGTCGGCTTCGCCAGGTCGGCCTTGGTCTTCGGCATCTGCTCCTCCCAGGTGTCTGGAAAGAGGGCTTCGAGCCAATCGGCCGGCTTCAGATTGAGCGCGACAAGCCCACAGGCGAGGCGAAGCTTAGAGACGACCTTGGGGCCCAGCCCCTTGACTCCCATGCCAGGCTCTTTCGACTTCATCGGTTCCGTTTTCGGGTTGAGCACCGTGAGGGCGTCACAGAAGGTCCCAATGCCCGGTGCCGCGATCCTGTTCAGTGCGTCGACCACGGCCTCGGTGTCGGCGTCGCCGTCGCTCGCGCGTAGCTGGCGCACCGCATCCATGGCCCTCATCATGCGTCGCACTTTCGTGTCGAGCCCACCCTGCGTCGCGCCCTTTCCTGTGAGGAGGGTGTGGCGGGCGACGAATCCCTTCTCGGCGACCCTGTCGCAAAGGCGACGGGTGTCATTGGCGGTGGCGGAATTCCATAGGCGCCAAGCGTCCCTCACAGTCTTTGCCTCCCGCCACGGTTGCACCACGTTGAGCTCGTAACTGGCCTCCTCGTCCGTCTGTGGGGGGGGCGGGGGTTTGTCATCCCCTTTCTTGGCTCCAGCCCCCGTGCTGGCCGACTCCGCCGATCCACCATCGCTGGGAGTCTGCGCGGGAGCCGACGGCGGGGCCACCGGCACTCTCCGTGCTTCCGACAAGCGGAGTGCCTCGGTGACACGGGCTAGCTCGGCGGTGAGCCCAGCGATGGTGTCGTCGCGCTTCTCGTTCGCGGCGCGCTCTTTCTCCTTCTGCATCTGGGCCATGAGGGACATGTTGTAGTACTCGGTGTCCATGCGCACCGAGATTTCCTGCAGCAGTAGGAGGAGGAAAACGTGAGGGCCGCGGTGGTTTGGTTTACACTCCCTACTGCACGTCGGCGACAGTATCGTCGACTTACCTCTGGCTGTATTTGGGTCGGGTCGCGACGCTTGTTGATCGTCTCGGTGTCGACGCTCTCCACCCGTTTCGCCCAGTGCTGGAAGAGGGGGATCCGGCAGAGCTTGGAACCTTGGACGTACGGGTGCCATGGTGTGCGGACTAGCTTCACCGCTAGGTCCTCGGCGACGATGCGGCGCAGCATCAGGAGAGTGCGCCAGAAGTGCACCGCGGCTTTGTCGGCGTCTGACCCCTCGACAGCCTTCCCTTCCGCCTGCCATTTGTCACGGGTACGGGGAGCTCAGAAAAGGTCGGCAACACGACTCGGCGGCAAGCTACGAGGGCGTCGACTAACATACCTCCTTCAGCATGTCGTCGACGCCGGGGAATATGTGCTCGGCGAGGAGCTTCAGGAGCTTCTCGGAGGGCGGCACCCTGCTCCGACCCAAGAAGTAGTCCTGCTTGTACCCCGAGTACCCGGCCTTCTTCATCACCACCCCCACCGGAATGGCGGTGATGTACGCTCGCGTCATCTTGTCGAGAGCCCAGTGTCCAAGCTCCGCGATCTCGGCGCGCGGCGTGCCGTCGATAGCCAGCTCCTGGGCCCCGCCCGCTCGAGCGGCGTGCACGTTCCTCTTGCAGAACACCTTGTTGGTGTCCCACAACTGCCGCGTCCAGCGTTGGTGGGTTGCCGCAGAGAGCTCACCCTGGTCGGTGTCGTTTTTGGCGAAGAACAGGTGCTTCTTGTACCAGCTAGCGCGTGTGCTGGTGTCGACCGGCGGAATGAGGCGGACGCCGTGAAACTGACCGATCTGATCGAGGACGAAGTGCAACCACAGGCCCGTCTCGCCGACGGCGCACAACTCCGCTTCGAGGTGCCGCGCGGCGTAGCTCTGCTGCAGACGAGCATCCTTGGACGTCTTCGAGTTCCGCGCTCCGATGACCATGACGACCGGCTGGTTCTCCGGGTTGATCGAGGAGGTGCTCGCCAGTCGGTACAAGAAGATGTCGGGGAGAGTGATCTCGCGGATGCTTGCACCGCGCAGGAGAGAGTGGTGGGAGAGTAGCGTGAGCACCTTCAAGAGAAGAAACCTCCACAGCGTCTGCGAAGGACCCGTACCCCGCGGGTTCCACGCCTTGGCCGCCCACGCCGGCAGCACCCTGAACATGATCTGGCGGAACTGTTCGGCGGTGTAGGTATCGCCGATGGTTCCGCGACGGCGATCGGCGCAGTTCCTGCCAACAATGCCATGGGCAAGGGGTATTTAGGGCGGCGTCGACAAAGATCATGACAGCAGGAGAGTGGTCGACGTAGGTTAAAACATAAACTCACTTGATGTCCCGCTCGTTCTTGGTGCGGATCATGTACCGCACCTCCGACCTGACCACCGATATCTCCCTCATGATGCTCAGTTCCGTCTCCCGGAAGAGCGTCGCCTCCACTCTCGCCGCCATCTGGCATGCCTTTATGCGCCCGAGGAGCGTGTGTACCGTTGTCGACTGCACCGGCTGTGTTCCTGTGGCGTTGTCGGCCCCCTTGCCGGACTCGGCATCGAGGTTCAACTCCCGAATCATGTACTTCACGTATGCGCGAAGCCGGTCCTTGGTGACCCTAGGGCCGTGCAGCCACACGTGAGACCAAGGGACATCGGCCTCTTGGTCCCAGTTTTTCTTCTTGTTCTCCCGGATGTAGTGCCCTATCTCGTCGACGTGCTTAAGCCTGTACTCCTGCGGAAGCTTGTTGCGAATTTGCTTCAACATCTTCGCCGCCCACCTCTTGTAGTGATAGATCCACGAGGTGTACTGCCTCAGCGTGCTGTTCCTCTCCACGGTTTGCAGGTGGCGAAGAGCGTCCATGACGAGCACGTCTACGCACGCGTAAACCATGTCCTCCTCGACGAAGTCTGCCGCTCTCCACTGTTCGCGCGGCACCGCCAAGTTCTCCTGGTCCTCGTCCTCGTCCTGGTCGAGCAGTATGTCGATGAATTGCAGTTCCCGCCTGAGTCGTTCGTCCAAGGTGCGCGGATTAGAGCTACGAGGTGGACGGTCGTCGTTTTCGTCATCGCTTTCCTCCTCCTCCTCCTCCTCCTCCTCCTCCTCCTCCCCCTCCTCCTCCCCCCCCTCCTCCTCCGCGTCCTCGTCATCGACCTGGTTTCCAGGGGCGGCCGGTGCCGACGAGGTACCTGGCCGACCATTTTGCGTAGGAGTCTGTTTTTTCTTCTTGTTGAACTTCCCTATCGGCGGTGGCGGAACGTCCGTGGTGAACACCCCTTCTGGGATCTGCGTCAGCTTGTCCAGATCGTAGAGTAACTGCAGGTTGTCTTCGTCGGTAGGTGTCGGACTGTGGTCGGTGGATGTCGGACTGCGGTCGGTGGTCGTCGGACCCTGGTCGGTGGATGGCCTAGCGTCGGACATGTCGACGTCGGCCATGTCGGTACACGTCTGCTGCTCTACCGTCGTCCGTGTGCGTTGGGGAGGTTGTTAAACCACTGCCGGTACTGAGTCACGGGTGCGGTGTACGCCCGAACAGTTGCGCGGCGGTCGTCCTCGAGATGTCCCTCAATAACGTCTATCTCGGCGTCGACCTCGAGATCGCGGGGGGTGGTAAACCAGAGACGGTACTGTGTGACGGGTGCGGCGAACGCGCGAAGCGTCAGGCGGTCTTCGTCTTCTTCGAATTCTCGCTCAAGCGCGTCTAACTCGGCTTCGAGTTCAAGCTGTTCCAGCTGCGCCTTGATGTCGGCGTCTACCGAGTCGGCGGGGGGTGGGATGGGTTGCGGCTGTTGGGCCCTCGGGCGACCTCTGGCCATGCGTCGCCGACTTGCTACGTCGACTCGCGACGTGGAACCTGTGCCGACTTGGACGAACAATCGGCTGTCGAGCAACCTACAGGCGCGATGACAGACTGGCAGCTGAAAATTCTAAGGGAACGAGAGAGCAGGAAGGAACGCAGGAACGGACAAGCGAATGAGCAGGCTCGCGGGGCAACGGACGGGTATGGTCCTGAGCGACTACGATGCTGCCGCGCGTCACGCACACCCCAATGCATCCGCCGCCGTGCATGTGTTCTCGTAAAGGCGGCGCACTGTCCGACGTGGCACGTGCCAGGCATGGCTAGCTGGGCGCCGCGCTGCACGGAAGGGGCGTAAGCCAGTGCCATTCCACGTCGGAATGGGCGTGCGTTACGTGGCTTGCGACCGCCATTGGCGCCCCAGTGCAGAAATTAAGGCAAGCAGACATGGATCTCCCGGAGGCCCGGGATGACTCAAGCACGGCGTGGCAACCATGCCGTGGGGGGCCTATGATCGGCGCCGACTTCCACTCGGCGCGCTTGGCAGAGAACGTGCCGTGTGGCCGGGTTTGTGTGCCTTGGGATGATCTGGTCGACACCGACTTCCCTGGCAACCCGCGATGCCACAAGACAGTGAAGATGTGGACGGTCCGATTTGCGCCGCGTGGGTTTGCACCGCTAGAGCGACGCGTGGCCACGACGCCCACGTCGTGGCAGCCTTGTAATCGGTGGGGCGGGTCTCGCACCTCCCTATTGGTCCGCGTGGAGGCATCCGCGGCTCGACGTGGCGAATTTTGTCCGCTGAGATTTCCTTCTCAGGAATCTCCCAGCGCAAACGGGTGTCGTCGGATTGTCGACAATCCCGAGGGCTCCCGAGGCCCCTGGGACGCCATTTGGGCCCGTCTGGGAGCTCGGAGGTCGTCGGGAGGTCGTCAATCCCGAGGGGGGGCCTTGTCCCTTTTGAACCGCGAAATTGGGCGGCATTTTTCGTCCGCTGAGGTATATCATCCCGAACATCGCCGTACGGGCAGAGTACAGGGCCGACGCCATCGAAACCCTCGGTTTATGGTGGTTGTGTCTGTCGGCAATTTTGACCTCGTCAAGCCCGTTCGCATCGTTCCGAATATTCATTCCCGTTTCCTTATTGGACTAAAAGCTGCTCACTTCTTCCACCCGACCTGTTTGTTCAGGGCTGTTTCGAACAATTACATCGGAGCAAATACCAACTGTTTTTCAAGCACATCTGTCCTCCGTGAATGTTCAATGTAAATTTTGCTTCTAGAAACATGACATGACACATAAGAGCAGGGAGTGTTGGCTCGGCATGGATGATTTCTAGTAGTAATGGAAAGCTGTATTTCTTTAGCAAATTAGCAGCGACTGACACCTAACTGAGCTAGAGAGTGTCGAGAATAAGAGATCAGTATAGCGATTCGGCTCAGAAGCAGCAGCTGATCTTGAGAAGTCGGAAAGGCGAACAGGATAAACGGTTAGGGTGTGTAAGTAGGGAGTGGGCTTGTTTGACTTTTTGCCAGTCAGTCTTAATTTTTACAAGATGTTATTGCGAGTTATCCAAGTATCGTTTACACAGCTGTCCGTCTTATGCTTAGCAACTTTCATTCCGTTGGTAGCTGGTGGCAGCAGCAATTGTCAGTACGAGTGCGCCGGCTATGGCTCCGCTTGCTACAGCGCTTGCCAGGTATGGGATGAACTGTCATAAGTAGATACTCTGAAGGTACAGCCTCGGTACGCTGAGAACTGGCACGGGTTACGTCCCTTCAGACTATTCCACTGCAGACTTTCAACTTCGTCTCGCCGTTTCGCCGTCTGGAGGCTCACTTTGTCTTTCACCCGCCTCATGTAACCATTTTTGTTTCGTTGTCCTTGTTTCTTTCCTTTCTTCTGTTTTGGTTTTGCTTTTTCTTCAGAGTTGCATCAATACGACTCCTTCAGGCTGCACAACCTACTATTCAGGTGCTCCTCCACTCCGTTTCCTTGCAGATCGCGATAAGGTCTTTACAGGGTACATTGTATTTGTTCTGTCTGATATGCCGCAAGCGTGAGACAGCATAATATCTTCCAGTTGCTGTTGTCTCGTTTTTCTCTCACTTAGACGTCCCCTAACGACGTTCGCCACACAGGAACCCTTTTTTTTGTGCATCTCCCTTCCTAATCGTTTCGTACTTTTCTCTTAAACCATAAAATAGCGTGGTTCGCTTCACTCGTTATACCAAAACTCGTTGTCGTTTTACTCAACTGGTTCCCGTGTTCCCATCCCGTCCCTTTTCTTCCCTTCCCTGTTTACCCCGCTTCCTTTTATTCTGCAGCTTATAGCGGCTGCTACTATGGCTGTGGTTGGCGGTGGACGTGGTGGGGCTCCCTTCTAGTCACCCTCGCCATCCTACTGTTTTCCTGCGGCATTGGCTCATGTGTGTACTACTCCATGCGAAAGCGCCGCATGCAACGGGAGCAGGAAATGGCCGCCTGGGCATCGCAGCAGGGGCAGCAAATCCACCAATCAGGAGGTGGACCAGAACCAGTGCCAGGTTACCCTGTTACAGGAGTGCCGCCTGGTGGTTACCCGTTCCCCCCTCCCCCTCCAGGTGGTTACCCCCCTCCGCCTCCAGGGGGCTACCCTCCTCCCCCACCAGGGGGTTACCCGCCTCCGCCCCCAGGGGGTTACCCCCCTCCTCCACCTGGTGGTTATCCACAGCAACCACCAGGCGGATGTGCCCCTGCATCGTCATCCGCCCCGCCTGTATAAAGCAGCCTGCTTTGATGGAGAGTGCTCAATGGTGATCGATCTCCTTTGAGCTGCCTTAATGGTTAATCTAAAATAGGCTTGTGTGCTGTGCTCTTTTCTTCCCTCCACAACATGCTTCTAGTCCCGCCTGCATGGAAGAGCCGATCTATGTTAGTAACTCCACCTTAGCTGATGGTAGATGTCCTAGGGATCCAGTAATGGTGGTAGATCCGTTAGGACCTGTGTACGGATGTCTTCAGTTTAGGATGCAGTAACGGGGCTTTGTTGATAAATGGAGGTGAAGTGGCAATCTCTTTGCAGGCTTTAGTTCACGTTAGGCATTCCAATTGCAGAATGTGGGAGGAAAACAGAATTTAAAGATTGTGACGAACAAAATGACTGTAACTTACAAACCATTATTCACAGTAGGCATTCCAACTCTCAATCCACAAGAGGCTAGGGCACAGGGAAGGCTTTGTATTGTGATGCATCATGCATCATGTGGTAGGAATGCAATGCACCCTCAATCCAACCATATGACAAGTTACGCCTTCCCTTTTGGATCCTTTCCCCTCCCCATAAGCACATCTGTTGTAATCATCGCACTTCGTCTCCAAGCGTAGCCCAGCCATCCAAAAAAGCCATTTGAAGGATCCGACCACAAAGGCTTCTTGTTCCACCTGCATATGAGACGCAAGTCATGTGTAATGATCATTAAGCAAAGAGGAAGATATACACTTACCATGGCCAAGATCAATGAGAAGATTGTCAAGATACAGGAAACAGGCTCACAGATCTTCATGGTGGACCACCTTCCCTCCTTCAACCTGCACACAGGAAGAATAAAAGAACGAAGTTATTGAGCCTAGGCAGCCATCCATTAGAAACCCCTGAACTAACATAACATGTTTCGTTTTAACATACCTTGAGTTGGATTCTTGAGTCGACATCAAAAGGTCTGCCCCAAACCTTGTAATTCTGCTTATTGTCCATGACCACCTGGCAATTATCAAACAACCAACCAACAAATATGCTCCCAATAAGCTGAACAACCTGCTGTTAAAATTCCGAACTCACAGCATGACACCCTGTATCAACTTACTAGTCCTGAGCCATCTCCTGTTGATGTCTCTTCCAAAGTGTACTCCACAATTCTCCCCTCTTGGAAAAGCTGAGAGCATCAATACGAACAATGGTCATCGAGCGACGAGACTCATTCTTGGAACAAGAACATAAGATGAAGAATGAAATGGGCGAGCTGACCTACCACTTGCATGGAGTAAAATGCCGACTTGATCTGATTCAACCTAAAAATGTAGGATACAGACAGAAGAGAGATATACAGCTGCTGTTTTCAGCAAACCACTCATAGAAACGGAGGGTGGGAAGGCTGCTGTGCAAAAGCCGACATACCCATGAGCTGACATCAGTGGATCGTCGAACTTTGCATATGGAGAGTAAATTTGAAAATCCTCGTCTCTTGCGGTGCAGCCATACCTGCCAAAGTGCACTAGTGCAAGGAGTAATGGCCCATTCTAAGAAGAGCGCAGAAAAGGAGGAACATCGCCTTACAGTTTGAACAGGTGAGGCAGTATCTTGGACGATAGGGGACCCAATTCCGGGTTAGCGGACAGGTTTCGAGGAGGCTGGACATCTGCGGGAGTCTCTGTTGCTGACGACATCGCTGAGAATTGATCACCCGAGAGATTTGGAAGGGACGATGGCAACAATTGGAGATTCAGAGGGTCCAGCAGAGTTGTCGAAATGGCGGCAACACGGAACGGAAACGCCCGAAGAATAGAGTCACCTAGATTCGCAAAGCTTCAAGATGAAATCGTACGAAAAAGCGACAGAAGCTATTCGCGTCACCAGAAACGTGAAGTGGCTACTAGAGGAAGGAGGATGGTGAAAGTGTAGTACATGATAGTCGCAAAATAGGTGGGGAGTGGTGGTGTCAGCACACGCGCAATTCACGGCGGCGGTGTTGCTTGCATGCGTCATGTCGTGAGCTTCAACGAAGGAGACGTGAGCTCTCAATATCGGTTCTAACTGGGCCGGTTAGCGGGTTCATGGAAAAACTGTACGATTCAACACTTGGAGCATACAAGTCATTTTCAACCTTCAACCAATGGCACTTCGGCTATATTCAAATGGAAAGTATCGACCACCTTAAAAGGCAGCTACAATGTGAACTGGATACCCCATCTTGGTTAGAACAAATACCCACACTTCCAGACTCTCCAAAAGCGAGTTAATATTCCATTTATGATGAGGTAATAGACACAAGCAAGCCAATTAGTTGAGCCTTGTGAAGGATGACGACGATGCGTATGGAAGTGAGTCACTCTCTGGAGGGGATAAGGGTGTGAATGTTAAAGGAGAAAGACCAGGTGCATTGTTCCTGGAAGGGGAAATGAGATGGTGGGTGGGTGAGTAAAGGGACAGCAGGACGAGCAAAAGCAGGACTCGAAATTTGCAAACAAGAAACGAGCATAAGCTGAGATGGAAGAGCACAGAAGGAACACAGAGAGAGCAAACAAAGGAGAAGAGGTCAAATGGGGAGAGCGAACACAGGAAATGGAAAAAAAACATATAAACAAGGGAAAGAACACAGAAAGAAGAGGCACAAGAAGACGAGAGCACAGAGACAAGGGAGCACACAAACAGAGGGAAAGAAACAGGAAGACGTGCCGGCACACAAACCTGGCGAGTGATGATTGCTCCTTTCTTTCTCCCTCAAGCTGCATATCTTCCATTTGAGGCATCCCATCAGCAGCATCAGCCGAGTCAATGGCAGCAGACGGGGGGGCGTCAGCAACACACGGCGGGGAAGGGTCGATTTTTAAGTCGATTTAAAAATCGACTCATCACACGCGGGTTATACGTGGAGAAAATGTTTGTTGCGTGGAAAATTGGTTGTAACCTTCAGAGGTTACTGGTGCGCGCGCGACTTCCGAAGTTGCCCCTTGGCGAAAATCTGAACCCAACCCTTCACGCTGACACTCTCGAGGAAGTTGAAGACGTGGCTGCCTGAAGTTTTCGAGGGTGGTCTGGATTGGTCCCCGTCATTTGGGTGACCTGGGTGTGGATAGCCTAGAGTTCGCTTTCTTAGAGGCCTTGCTTCTCTTTAGAGGCATTGCTTAGCCCTTCTTTCTCATTGTTGGCACTGATGAAGGTCTGATCGGGCATTTCCCCGTAATAGACCGAAACATGTTTGTCCCTGTTTTACTCTACTGCTAAGAATTTGGGTTCTAAGATCGTTCTGAGCACTTAGTTGTACATAGAGCGGAATTTTACTGCTGTTTTTTCCTTTGCTTAAGCCTACTGCACGCACGCAGCTCACTGAGCCATGTCCGGATCTCGCGTGGAACTTTCGATTCACTCAGAAGAAGCCGGGCGTGCAGAAGGCAGTTCTGCTATTGTAATTCGTGAGGCGGGTTACTCTGCGAAGACTTACGCGGGCTATCGTGCTCACAAGCGGTCCCGCCAAGCCAACCAGACTTCAATTCCCGTTTCAACTCACGAACCGACATCGCACAACGAGCAAACAAATTCTCTTCCCGACATGGATGTGGAAGCCGCTCCGAACGCTGCTGCTGCGCCGGCTATGGCTGGCACGAGCAACAATCCTCCTGCTTCGTTGGATCCGTCCATTAGTATTCCTGAACTTCTCAAGGGCTGGACGACGAAGGCAGTCAAGGATTTCAGGGCGGATTTCAAGTCACTCCTGAAGGCGAAGTCCAAACTTCAGAAGATGAAGTTACTCGATGAGCAGGGGGTGATACTTCACAGTCTACGCACCAAGCCCGTCGAGTTTCAGACGAAGTACCCGAGCGTACGGGAGAAGTCTGCTGCGTCGGTTGCCGTGCTTCATCTGGAAAATCAGAAACGAATCCAGAAGGACTTCATTGCGTCTAAGGAGTAGGAGGTTGAGGAGATTTTGGCGGCTTCTAACTCGCACGTGACGACTCTGGCGACAAAGCTTGAAGACTACCTGCAGAGCCTCTCAGCCAACCCTGACTTGGCGGTGTCTGACGCTACCAAGGAGAAGTACAGGAAGATCAACGGTGCGTGCATCGAGAAGGCGCGGTCTGAGATAGCGGTCGCCAAGGATGAGATCATCATCCAGGAGTTGGATCGGCAGAAGAAACGTGAAGCTGAGGAATTGAAGAAAGCTGCCGCTGCTGAGGAGATGGACAGCATGGAGACGGATCCGGCGATCAACGAGATCGTTCAGCAGCACGTGAAGAAGGCCGAAGAAAAGCTACGCAGGGATTTCGCGGCGAAGCTGGACAAAGGCCTATCGGCGGCGCTGCAGAAGGTTTCGCTGGAGAGCAAGAACTCGACGCCGGCCCCTGCTGCTGCTTCGACGCCACCGAACAAGAAGGCGAAGAAGAAGCGCGGGAAGAAAAAGAAAGCTGACGCTCCGACGGACGGCAAGGAGAAGGGCCAGAACGCTACCTCCTCGAAGAAGGCCTGGGTTCCAAAAAACGGAGGCGGCGGCCCCGCAAAAGGGCCGCCGAACAAGAAGTAACGGCACACGACCTCGCGCTCCGCTGGTTCGGCCGCTTGACTGTTCGACAAGTGATGTCACGCGTGCGGAACAGCGGGGTGCATAACCTGAGTGCTAAAACTCTTACCACTGATGAGCGGAGAGCACTCGGGATGGGTTTGAAGTTTGTGCCTACACCTACCAGGAATCCGTCAGTCGAAGCAGATCTCGATCAACTGCATCGGCTGACTTCTCTTCATTTTTTCTTCAAGGAGAAGGGTGACCCGACGGAACCTGTACGCTTTCGTGTGCGGAATCCTAGTTGGAAACCTGATCGGGACGTTGTCCCGGAGTCGGTCTTCAAGGAGGCCCATTCGGACCTCTCTTTCTTGATGAAAGCGACAACGCCACGGCGCGGTTTCAACCTCTCGTTGGGTGTGCGCAAGGCGTTACGCTCCCTCGCCTCTGACCGCAGCATCGTGATTAAGCCAACTGACAAGAACGTGGGTGTGACGGTGTTAGATCGGCAGCACTACATCAACCTCTGCATGGAACATCTCGGGAATGAAGCAGTGTACCAGCCGATCCTACATGATCCAACGCCACAGGTCGTGAAGCAGCTGCGGATCTTACAGACGACGTGGGGACCGGCTTTCCCTGACAGCCTTTGGAAGTATTTTTTCAAGGAACCACCTGGAGGGTGGCGACCAGCTGCTTTCTACGCATTTCCGAAGCTTCACAAGAAAGTCCCCGTGGGGCGGCCGATCGCCGCTTCACACTCATGGGTGACTACTCCTGTGAGCAAGTGGCTGGACGCAGAACTTCGCTCGCTGGTACTTAACCGCCCAACTTACCTCCGGGATTCCCTCTCGCTGCTGACGACGCTGGAACGGACTGCCTTTCCTACGACAGTTCTGCTCGCGACGTATGATGTTGCTGCGCTCTACCCCAGCATCTCGATTGAGCGCGGCCTTGATGCGGTCAGCAGTTTTCTGATGAGGGAGAAACCACAGCTCGCCCCACCTCTCATGGCCATGCTGGGCTAGGTCATGAGGAATTCGTTCGTGGAATTCAACGGCCGGACCTATCATCAAGTGCGGGGAACAGCCATGGGGACACCTGTAGCTGTCTGCTTCGCGGTCCTGTTTATGAGCCGTCTGGACGAGCTTCTGAAGGAGAAGTGGACCGGGATATCTCCTCTGTACCATGCGCGCTACATTGATGACGGGTTAATCATTTGGCCAGGGACGCGGGTAGAACTGGAAGCCTACCTGCAGACCTTCAACGCGCTGGACCCTGACATTAGGATCACATGGTCTATCTCGGATCGCTCCATAGATTTTCTTGACGCTGTTCTTTTCAAGGGGCCGCGTTTTAAGGAGCGGGGTACTTTAGACTTCGGCACGTACCAGAAGCCGGTGAATAAGTATCTGTACCTTCCCTTCGCTTCCTTCCATCCACGGCACTGCAAGGAGTCTTTCATTCGCGCAGAGCTAAGACGTTACCTTCTTCGCTCAACTTCAGCTGCGACTTTCCTAGCAACGAAGCGGTCTTTCTTCCTCCGCCTTCGTGACCGTGGTTACCCGCCCGTGTTTCTGCACCCCATCTTCAAAAGTGTCATCTTCGCTCATCGTTCAGAACTTTTCGCCAGCACCATCGCCAACCAAGCGCTCCGCCAACAGACAACTCTCCCATCCCGTGGGCCCCTAGTCTTGAAGACTCAGTACACTCCTGTTACTGCACGACTCGGGCTAGGGGTCCTTTTTAGTCGACTTAAAAATAGACTCATCACACGCGGGTTATACGTGGAGAAAATGTTTGTTGCGTGGAAAATTGGTTGTAACCTTCAGAGGTTACTGGTGCGCGCGCGACTTCCGAAGTTGCCCCTTGGCGAAAATCTGAACCCAACCCTTCACGCTGACACTCTCGAGGAAGTTGAAGACGTGGCTGCCTGAAGTTTTCGAGGGTGGTCTGGATTGGTCCCCGTCATTTGGGTGACCTGGGTGTGGATAGCCTAGAGTTCGCTTTCTTAGAGGCCTTGCTTCTCTTTAGAGGCATTGCTTAGCCCTTCTTTCTCATTGTTGGCACTGATGAAGGTCTGATCGGGCCTTTCCCCCGTAATAGACCGAAACATGTTTGTCCCTGTTTTACTCTACTGCTAAGAATTTGGGTTCTAAGATCGTTCTGAGCACTTAGTTGTACATAGAGCGGAATTTTACTGCTGTTTTTTCCTTTGCTTAAGCCTACTGCACGCACGCAGCTCACTGAGCCATGTCCGGATCAGACGGGGGGCCGTCAGCAACACACGGCGGGGAAGGGCGATCGTGGGGAGGAGTGCGGGGAGGAGAAGAGGGGCATGAGCCGCCAGGAGGCAGGGCCAGCGGTTGGGCTTGCAGGTGGGTTAGTGGGTGTGCTAGCGGGTCGGTTTGTGGGTGGGCTGAGCGGAAGATGTAGATGGGGAGGGCTAGGGCGAGCAGCATGGAGGCTACTGAGATGACGATGAAGCCCCACCACAGCATGCTGAAATCCCTCTCCATGTCGTTTGCCATCCCTGATGCATGCTGGAGGCAAAAGGTGTAGGGGATGGGGGGAATAGGGGGAAAGGATACAGAGGAAGGAAAATGGGATGATGATGAAGCCCCACCACAGCAAGTCAACTCACGTTAACCCACGTACCTCGCAGATCTCCTTCATGTAGGTGCAGTTGGCGATCTGACTCAGCACCGGCACGGACGTCACGAGCTGTGTCATGCCCGCGTAGGCGGTCTCCCCAACCCAACAATAAACCCAAGTCAAACCAGGTCAACCCAAGTCAACCCACGTACCTCACAAATCTCCTTGACGTAGGTGCAGTTGGCGATCTGAATCAGCACCGGCACAGACGCCACGAGCTGTGTCAGGCCCGCATAGGCGGTCTGAAGTTCAGCGAGAGCAGCTGGGGGCACTTGCAGCTGCGTGAGTGTGCCGTTGGGAAGCTGCACCTGGCACGTGCCGTTGGTGCACGGCAGCTTGGCGAGTGCCTGAGGGGGGGGGGGATGGAGGAGGGGGTGTGGGGGTGTGGGGGGAATGGGCGAGAGTGATGGGGCCACTTGCAGCAGCATGACTGTGCCGTTGGGAAGCTTCACCTGGCACGTGCCGTTGGTGCACGGCAGCTTGGCGAGTGCCTGTAAGGGGGGCGAAAGGAGGGAAGCGATTGGAGGCACGGAGGCCACGAGGTGTGTGAGAGCAGCATAGGCAATAGCCTCACCCTCTGAAGGACAGCAATAACCTCTTGGGGCACTTGCAGCAGCATGAGTGTGCCGTTGGGAAGCTGCACCTGGCACGTGGTGTGTGAGAGCAGCAGAGGTCTTCTGAAGGTCAGCAATAGCATCTTCAGGCCCTTGCAGCAGCGTGAGTGTGCCGCTGCTTCAGCTTTCAGGAAGGAACAAGCCTCACTCCACCAGGTGAAGGTTTGACTTTAATAATTAAGACATGAGACGATTCATAAAGTCTCAGGATTTTACCTGGAAGAATGTAGTGGGCGGCAGAGTGCCGGGCGGGCAGGAGGTGTGCCGGTGTTATAAGTCTCGAAACATTACCTGGAGGAATGCGGCGGGCGGCAGAGTGCCGGGCGGGCAGGAGGCGACGTTGTAGCTGAGGTCAGCGATGCCGGCCACATATGTGTTTTGAGTCGACTTAGAACACACCTGGAAACTTCACCTGGAGGAATGCGGCGGGCGGCAGAGTGCCGGGCGGGCAGGAGGAGACGTTGTAGCTGAGGTCAGCACCGCCGCCCACGTAGGGGCTGCAGATGCCAGTGGCGTTGAGTGCAGGCAACAGCTGCCAATTACACGAGAGGAGATGTTGAATGGAAGAGGAGAGGAGAAGAGGAATGGAAGAGGAGAGGAGAAGAGAAACAGGAGCTTTTGAGACGTCTCAAAAGTCGGAAAACGGATGTTGACTCGACTGAATAGGGGCTGCAGATGCCAGTGGCGTTGTCTGCAGTCAACAGGTGCATGAGGGGAGAAGAGGAACGGGTGCGGGGGTAGTGCATGACAATGGATGTGTGGAGCAGAGCAATGCACGCAGAGAGAGCAGTGACGGTGGTGTTGAATGTTGATGGCCTGCCGCTTGTTGTTTGTCCGGGCGCACGGCAGGCACTGTTGCACACCCATGGGTGTCCTGAGTGGGGAACTGAGGGTGCTCACCTGGGGGTAGGACGAGGCAACAGACGAGTTGAGCAGAGCAATGGACGCAGAGAGGGCGGTGGTGGTGGTGGTGGTGGTGTTGACGGCCTGCCGCGCGTCGCTTGCCCGGGCGCACGGCAGCCACTGCTAGACCTAATGGGGAATTGTGTGGGTGATTCCAAGGGCGCTCACCTGGGGGTAGTGCGTGACAATGGAGGTGTTGAGCAGGGAGATGGAGGTAGAGAGGGCGGTGGTGGTGGTGTTGACGGCCTGCCGCGCGTCGCTTGCCCGGGCGCATGGAAGCCACTGCTGCATGGTGGAGTTGCCTACTGGGTCCTGCTGTGACACCTGCCACATGGCCATACTCGTGTCCCCGGCAAAGCTGGGAGAAAGGGATGGAAGGCGGTGGAGAGGGGTGGAGAGCTGTTTAGCGGATGTTGTTTCACATGGAAGCCACTGCTGCATGGTGGTGTTGCCTACTGGGTCCTGCTGTGACACCTGCCACATGGCCATGCTTGTGTCCCCGGCAAAGCTGGAAAGGAACGGATGGAGAGTGGTGGTGGAGAGTGGTGGAGAGGGGTGCAGAGGGGTGGAGAGGGGTGAACAGGGTTAGAGGGCTGTTTAGTGGGTGCTGCTGTTTCATGCAGTGGTGTTGCCTACTAGGTCCTGCTGTGACACCTGCCACATGGCCATACTCATGTCCCCGGCAAAGCTGCGTGTGAGGGGTGGAGAGCGGTGGAGGGGGATGGGGAGGGGTGAAGAGTGGTGGAGGGGGGCGAGAGGGATCAGCAACACTTCAGCATATTAGCAGCAGCACTAAAGCATGCCACCAGCAGAACTGAAGCAAACCACGAGCGGTGGCACTTAAGCAAATCACCTGTACCAGCAATAAAGCATACAGCCAATAGTGGCACTTACAGAGCACCATGCACCATGTGATGAGCCCCATAGACCAGATGACACTAACGGGTGTGCTTGAAAAGGGGACACAAGGGCAGGGCAGGGCAGAGCAGAGCAGAGCAGAGCAGAGCAGAGCAGAGCAGAGCAGAGCAGAGCAGAGCAGAGCAGAGCAGAGCAGAGCAGAGCAGAGCAGAGCAGAGCAGAGCAGAGCAGAGCAGAGCAGAGCAGAGCAGGCTGCAGTGCAAACAAATAACTTGAGAACTTCATCAGCAGCAGCACTTACAGAGTGGAGTAGAAAGACAGATTCGACCTGGATCCAACAGGTAACTTGAGAACTTCATCAGCAGCAGCACTTACAGAGTGGAGTAGAAAGACAGATTCGACCTGGATCCAACAGGTAACTTGAGAACTTCATCAGCAGCAGCACTTACAGAGTGGAGTAGAAAGACAGATTCGACCTGGATCCAACAGGTAACTTGAGAACTTCATCAGCAGCAGCACTTACAGAGTGGAGTAGAAAGACAGATTCGACCTGGATCCAACAGGTAACTTGAGAACTTCATCAGCAGCAGCACTTACAGAGTGGAGTAGAAAGACAGATTCGACCTGGATCCAACAGGTAACTTGAGAACTTCATCAGCAGCAGCACTTACAGAGTGGAGTAGAAAGACAGATTCGACCTGGATCCAACAGGTAACTTGAGAACTTCATCAGCAGCAGCACTTACAGAGTGGAGTAGAAAGACAGATTCGACCTGGATCCAACAGGTAACTTGAGAACTTCATCAGCAGCAGCACTTACAGAGTGGAGTAGAAAGACAGATTCGACCTGGATCCAACAGGTAACTTGAGAACTTCATCAGCAGCAGCACTTACAGAGTGGAGCATGTTTTGAGACGTCTCCAATCGAGCTGACTTTTGAGTCGACTCAAAAGCAGGCTGCAGTGCAAACAAATAACTTGAGAACTTCATCAGCAGCAGCACTTACAGAGTGGAGCATGTTTTGAGACGTCTCAAACGAGCTGACTTTTGAGTCGACTCAAAAGCAGGCTGCAGTGCAAACAAATAACTTGAGAACTTCATCAGCAGCAGCACTTACAGAGGTGGAGCATGTTTTGAGACGTCTCAAATAGAGCTGACTTTTGAGTCGACTCAAAAGCAGGCTGCAGTGCAAACAAATGACTTGAGAACTTCATCAGCAGCAGCACTTACAGAGTGGAGCATGTTTTGAGACGTCTCAAATCGAGCACTTCACCATCAGCAGCACTTACAGAGTGGAGCATGTTTTGAGACGTCTCAAATCGAGCACTTCACCATCAGCAGCACTTACAGAGTGGAGCATGTTTTGAGACGTCTCAAATCGAGCACTTCACCATCAGCAGCACTTACAGAGTGGAGCATGTTTTGAGACGTCTCAAATCGAGCACTTCACCATCAGCAGCACTTACAGAGTGGAGCATGTTTTGAGACGTCTCAAATCGAGCACTTCACCATCAGCAGCACTTACAGAGTGGAGCATGTTTTGAGACGTCTCAAATCGAGCACTTCACCATCAGCAGCACTTACAGAGTGGAGCATGTTTTGAGACGTCTCAAATCGAGCACTTCACCATCAGCAGCACTTACAGAGTGGAGCATGTTTTGAGACGTCTCAAATCGAGCACTTCACCATCAGCAGCACTTACAGAGTGGAGCATGTTTTGAGACGTCTCAAATCGAGCACTTCACCATCAGCAGCACTTACAGAGTGGAGCATGTTTTGAGACGTCTCAAATCGAGCACTTCACCATCAGCAGCACTTACAGAGTGGAGCATGTTTTGAGACGTCTCAAATCGAGCACTTCACCATCAGCAGCACTTACAGAGTGGAGCATGTTTTGAGACGTCTCAAATCGAGCACTTCACCATCAGCAGCACTTACAGAGTGGAGCATGTTTTGAGACGTCTCAAATCGAGCACTTCACCATCAGCAGCACTTACAGAGTGGAGCATGTTTTGAGACGTCTCAAATCGAGCACTTCACCATCAGCAGCACTTACAGAGTGGAGCATGTTTTGAGACGTCTCAAATCGAGCACTTCACCATCAGCAGCACTTACAGAGTGGAGCATGTTTTGAGACGTCTCAAATCGAGCACTTCACCATCGGCAGCACTTACAGAGTGGAGCATGTTTTGAGACGTCTCAAATCGAGCACTTCACCATCGGCAGCACTTACAGAGTGGAGCATGTTTTGAGACGTCTCAAATCGAGCACTTCACCATCAGCAGCACTTACAGAGTGGAGCATGTTTTGAGACGTCTCAAATCGAGCACTTCACCATCAGCAGCACTTACAGAGTGGAGAGCAGGCAGAGCGTGACAGTGCACCATGTGATGAACCCCATGGCCCAAATGACACTAACGAGTCTGCTTAAAAAGGGGACAAAGGCAGAGCAACACCAGAGGAACGATGAAACGACTGGATGAGAGGAAGCAAGAGACTCGGACATATTAATCCGCGTGTGATGAGTCGATTTTTGACTCGACTAAAAAATCGACTGGCTGAGAGGAAGCAAGGGCCTCGGACATATTAATAACGCAAGGGACACAGATTTTTATTCTTTTGGATATGTGTATACCCTTCTTAGAAGCACTGTAGCTTCCTGCTGGAAGGCGCAGACGTGTGTGGTGAATTCGTGAATAAAAACATTATTACATTCTTTTGGACATGTGTATACCCTTCTTACATTTTCTATGCATTTGAAATTTGATAGAAATAACTCTGGTGGTACGATTGACCACTAGTGAAAGCCAGCCATTGCAGGTGTATGTCTCAATTCTCACACGCTGCAGCCCTTGTGAAGAGAGGTGAGTTATGAGCAAACACGTTTTGAGACGTCTCAAAAGTCGTCTCAAGAGACGTCTCATCTCAAAAGTCGTCTCAAGAGACGTCTCAAAAGTGAAAGCCAGCCATTGTGTATGTCTCAACTTTCACACACTGCAGCCCGTGTGAAGAGAGGCGACTAGGGTATTTATGACAATTTTCAATTAAAAAAACTCTCACACACCGCAGCCCGTGTGAAGAGAGGCGACTAGGGTATTCATTACAATTTTCAATAAAAACTCTCACACTGTGCAGCCCTTGTGAAGAGAGGTGACTTCTGAGCAAACACGTCGCCTTTCTAAAAGTCTCAAAAGAAGTCGAACACACTCACATGTGTGATGCAACAGACCACTGCATAAAGCCGGCCACTGCACCGCGCATGAGAGAGAGAGAGAGAGAGAGAGAGAGAGAGAGAGAGAGAGAGAGAGAGAGAGAGAGAGAGAGAGAGAGAGAGAGAGAGAGAGAGAGAGAGAGAGAGAGAGAGAGAGAGAGAGGGGAGGGGCAAGTGTGGGGAAGACATTTGAGACGTCGCAACAAAAGCCATCAACATGCTGACCACAAAAAAGCCAGCCACAGCACCATGCATGGGGGTGAGAGGAAGAGGAAGAGAGAGGTAGCTGCAAGTGAGGGAAAGAATTTTGAGATGTCTCGACAAAAGCCATCAAATGTGTGATGCCACTGCCCACCACTCACCTCTCACCACCAGCACCCACCAATTCACTGCTGCTCTTCTAACATGAGTGAAGATGCCAGTGACCACCACTCACCTCTCACCACCACCACTCACCTCTGACCACCACTGCTGGTCCACCAGCACCCACCAAGTCAGACCCAGCAGCACTCACCCAAGCCCAGCAGCACTCACCTAAGCCCAGCAGCACGAGCAGAGCAGTGAGCGAGCCAATAACGAGGATGGTGATGATGCTGTGATGCCAAGGAAGGTGGGTGAGAATGGTGGAGTGGAGAACATAACGGGCAGTGTCACAGGGTGGAAAAGAGTTGTCATGGATTTAGCAGATGCAGTGCAGCTCACAGGACAGTGAGCAAGCTAATGACCAGGTTGGTGATGGTGCTTTTGGAAGCGAAGGGTTTTCCAGATCCGCGTTTTTTTCACTGGATTGTTTGTCACTGTTGTTCCCTTTTTATCATTGTTGTTCCTTTGCTTAAGCGTCCATTCAACCACTGCAGCCCTTCGAACATGAGTCAAGGTGATGGTGCTGAGACGACAAGTGCGGGAGCATGGGGAACCGTAGACAGGATGTGTCACGGTCAATGGGAGAGCTGGGGTGGTGGGTTTGATAGACTGATATGGCTCACAGGGCAGGCAGTGAGCGAGCTAATGACCCCATGCATGCATGCAGGCGTGCACCAACGCACCATCCCACCATGCACGCACCAACGCACACGACCTTGACGAGGTGACTTGTGAGTCGACTCAAAAGTCACAGGGCAGGCAGTGAGCGAGCTAATGACCCCATGCATGCATGCACCAACGCACACGATCTTGACGTATCCTTCCATCTAGCCGGTCAATGCTGTTCACAACCCCCCGCCTCCCGTCAAGCCATTCCCAACACACCCATCCCATCCCACAGAGCAAGCGACCATCCCAACATGCATGCACCAAGGCACACGATCTTGACGTATCTGTTCAGCCGGTCTTGCACTCACCCCACCACCATCCACCACCCCACCACCACCACCCACCACCCCACCATGCATGCATGCACCAACGCACACGATCTTGACGTATCCATCGAGCCGGTCAATGCTGTTCACGATCCGTGCTTGAATGTCAACTGCCATGTTCTCTGCGTGCATGGCCCCCTGTATCACCGTCTGCTGCGTGGCGGCTGGGAAAGAGAGGGACAGGGGAAAGAGAGGGACAGGGGAAAGAGAGGGACAGGGGAAAGAGAGGGACAGGGGAAGGAGAGGGAGGGAAAGGGGAGGGAGGGACAGGGGAAGGACCCATTATGCTGTTCACGATCCATCCTTGCTTGATTGTCAACTGCCATCACATCCGCTTGCACTGTTCCCTGCATCACTGTCTGCTGTGTGGCGGCTGGGTGGGGGGAGGGATCAGAGGGGTGGGTTGGCTTGTGAGTTGACTCCTCCTAAGCTGTTCACTACTCGTGCCTGAGTGTCAACTGCACTGCTCCCTGTATCACCGTCTGCTGCGTGGCGGCTGGGCGGGGAATGGGGACAGGACAAGGAGCGATAGGCAAGGGATGGAATGACCTGTGAGTGAACTCAGAATCTGCTTACAATCGTCTCACAAGCTCTTTACAATCCTTGCTTGATTGTCAACTGCCATCACATCCGCCTGCACTGCTCCCTGCATCACTGTCTCCTGTGTGGCGGCTGGGTGGGGAGAATAGAGGGGTGGGTTGGTTTGTGAGTTGCCTCCTTGTGGCTGAGTGGTTGTAAGTGCTTGGCCCCCACGAGGGCTTGTGTCGTGGCGAGCCGAGATGACTTTCGAGTCGACTGGAAAGTCACGTCGTTTCGAGTCGACTGGAAAGTCACGTCGTTTTGAGTCGACTCGAAAGCCACGTCGTTTTGAGTCGACTCAAAAGTCACGCCGTTTTGAGTCGACTCGAAAGCCACGCCGTTTTGAGTCGACTCGAAAATCACGTCGTTTTGAGTCGACTCAGAAGCCACCTTGCAGCGCGGCTGTGAGGTTGTTTGTGAGTGGCCCCCACGAGGGCTCGTGTTGTGGCGAGCCGAGAGGGTGACGCAGGGGCATACAGGGCACACAGGGCATGCAGGGCATGCAGGGCACACAGGGCACACAGGGCACACAGGGCATGCAGGGCACACAGGGCACACAGGGCACACAGGGCACACAGGGTATGCAGGGCACACAGGGCACACAGGGCACACAGGGCACACAGGGCACACAGGGCACACAGGGCATGCAGGGCACACAGGGCACACAGGGCACACAGGGCACACAGGGCATGCAGGGCACACAGGGCATGCAGGGCACACAGGGCACACAGGGCATGCAGGGCACACAGGGCATGCAGGGCACACAGGGCATGCAGGACACACAGGGCACACAGGGCATGCAGGGCACACAGGGCATGCAGGGCACACAGGGCATGCAGGGCACACAGGGCACACAGGGCACACAGGGCACACAGGGCATGCAGGGCACACAGGGCATGCAGGGCACACAGGGCACACAGGGCACACAGGGCACACAGGGCATGCAGGGCACACAGGGCATGCAGGGCACACAGGGCACACAGGGCACACAGGGCATGCAGGGCACACAGGGCATGCAGGGCACACAGGGCACACAGGGCACACAGGGCACACAGGGCATGCAGGGCACACAGGGCATGCAGGGCACACAGGGCACACAGGGCACACAGGGCACACAGGGCATGCAGGGCACACAGGGCATGCAGGGCACACAGGGCACACAGGGCACACAGGGCACACAGGGCATGCAGGGCACACAGGGCATGCAGGGCACACAGGGCACACAGGGCACACAGGGCATGCAGGGCACACAGGGCACACAGGGCACACAGGGCACACAGGGCACACAGGGCACACAGGGCATGCAGGGCACACAGGGCATGCAGGGCACACAGGGCACACAGGGCACACAGGGCACACAGGGCATGCAGGGCACACAGGGCATGCAGGGCACACAGGGCACACAGGGCACACAGGGCACACAGGGCATGCAGGGCACACAGGGCATGCAGGGCACACAGGGCACACAGGGCACACAGGGCACACAGGGCACACAGGGCATGCAGGGCACACAGGGCATGCAGGGCACACAGGGCATGCAGGGCACACAGGGCATGCAGGGCACACAGGGCACACAGGGCACACAGGGCATGCAGGGCACACAGGGCATGCAGGGCACACAGGGCACACAGGGCACACAGGGCACACAGGGCATGCAGGGCACACAGGGCACACAGGGCACACAGGGCACACAGGGCATGCAGGGCACACAGGGCATGCAGGGCACACAGGGCACACAGGGCACACAGGGCACACAGGGCATGCAGGGCACACAGGGCATGCAGGGCACACAGGGCACACAGGGCACACAGGGCATGCAGGGCACACAGGGCATGCAGAGCACACAGGGCACACAGGGCACACAGGGCATGCAGGGCACACAGGGCATGCAGGGCACACAGGGCACACAGGGCACACAGGGCACACAGGGCATGCAGGGCACACAGGGCATGCAGGGCACACAGGGCACACAGGGCACACAGGGCACACAGGGCACACAGGGCACACAGGGCATGCAGGGCACACAGGGCACACAGGGCATGCAGGGCACACAGGGCATGCAGGGCACACAGGGCATGCAGGGCACACAGGGCATGCAGGGCACACAGGGCACACAGGGCACACAGGGCACACAGGGCATGCAGGGCACACAGGGCATGCAGGGCACACAGGGCACACAGGGCACACAGGGCACACAGGGCACACAGGGCATGCAGGGCACACAGGGCATGCAGGGCACACAGGGCACACAGGGCACACAGGGCACACAGGGCACACAGGGCACACAGGGCACACAGGGCATGCAGGGCACACAGGGCATGCAGGGCACACAGGGCACACAGGGCACACAGGGCATGC